CCGATCTGTTATAAAAATTTCTACAAACCTTTCTGTCAAAAAAAAAAACTCAAAAAATTAGATGTTTGTGTTTAATATATACTAGTAAGTATTTTAATTTGTGTAATGCAGAAGTTAAATATTTATTACATGTAACTAGAATTTATAATAAATTATATATAAAAATAAATATTATATTTAAATATAAAATCATAATTAAAATTTATATAAATAGATATTTTTAAACGTGTAAATTATATTTTAAATTTTTCTATAAATAATTTATATTGTAGCATAATAATTTTTTTTATTGATAATTTATTTTTAAAATATTAGAATTTAATTTATAAATAATTATGACAAATAGAAATTGAATTAGATAAATAACTAACAATATGATATATATATATATATATATATAATTCTTACATTTGATGTAATAATTAATGGGATATATCAAAATTCTGTACCGATAGAATTGTCTGTTTTTATAATTAAATGTAATTCTGTTAACATAAACTCATAACCTCTATATGAACATTTTAATTTTAATTAAAAAAGACTATATAATAGAAGTCATCGATCCAATATCAAATTGTGGCCTTTAATTAATCCGAAAATGATGGTTGGAAAAATAATATTATTAATATATTGATGAATAAAAGATAGAGGAATCCATATAGATAGATAGATAAGTGAATTATGAATTGAATAAAGGAAGGAGTATGGTCCAATATTCCATATATATAAGGGTCCAAGCATTGTTGTGGAGAGTCACAGGGGAAACTAGGTGAGCACTAATGGAATCTAAAAGAGTGTAGGAGAGTTCAGAGCAACAAATACTTTTATGGAAGGCAAGAGACAAGGTAGGAGCAGGATATGTGTATGGAGGATATTGTTTTGTTGTGATGATTAATGGGCACGCATGTGAATAGAGGTGGGTACGTTATTTGTCCTTGTGGAATCGTGACAATACTTCATGGAACACATCAATATTCATTAAAACAATTAATAACTATTTATATTTCTTAATCAAATTATTTAAAGATCGAATCCTAATTTTAAATATATAAAAAATTATGTTAAAAGAGAAATATTTATAAAAAAAAATACTTTATAAAATGCTTAACCAATAACACCTCTAAATACCATATCATGTATCATTAATTCCTCCCATTAATTCATCCAAATAGTATATATATATATAAGCTCGTAATCATTATAATTGGTCTGATTAACGGTAATGTTGATGTGTTGAAGAATTACTGGAACTAAAATCTTATATATGTTGTTTTGTTAAGATTTTTCTTTTTGCTGTCTAGATTGTGTTAGGATAATATAAGTAAAAGTGACTTGTGAAAATTGACCATGTACCAAAATATCTATTGTTAGCATTCTAATGTTTGGATTCATGTAATGTCTGTTTCACGCTTATTTTCCCTCTCCTCTTTTCATTTTTATTCATACGAACATCATAGAGAGTTAGGCGATTACAAATATTTTTAGTTTTTACTATTAGGTCGACCAATGATTTTTTATGAATATCTTTCGTTTTCAATTGAACAAAACCTTTGAATTTGGAAGCGTAGAGAAACCATAAACAACTATATATGGAGAAAAAATAATTCTTACATATGTATGTACCTTTCTCTTGTGAGACTAATCCCATAAGAAATTTAATACTGAAGTTTGTCCTTCCAACAATGCATTTCTGTCTACTCGAATTTTGACGTTGTAGAGACTCCTCACAGCTTAATTAACTCAACACAAGAAGGGAAAAGTAGCATGTGGTGGTTAAGTCTATGTGATTGACAAAAATAAAATGCTATAATTTTCAGGAATGCATTTCGAAATTGTTAGATTACTAGATCTAATTAATTAAAGTAAGAACTTGGTCATGAATTTATGTCTAGTTAACTATTATTTTAGGCAAAACGATTTTATTAACAGAGTACACGAAGTACTCTAATCAAATACAAAATTCATGCTAAAAATACATAAGGATAAAGCAACTCGATTCATGCACCAATCATAAAAAGATAAAACCTGCTACCTAGATTAGCTTGGAACTAAGATCAAGAATGAACCTTAATCAAATTCAGCAAATGGTCATGAATTTATGTCAAAGTTAACTGTACTTGCATATCTTTTTGAAACTGGTGTATTAGTTTTTTTTTTATTGTATTAAACAACTTTCTATTAAAAAAAATTGATTAAAAGGAGTAAGAGGTATCCCAATACTTTTAAACAAGAAACCTGAAATTAAACATCTTTTCAGTCTAGTTCTTAAGTAAGTTTTCCATACATGACGAAGGGTAAAATTAAAGACCTATCACACAAAGAAATAGACCACCTTTAGAAATGATCCAAGACAATGAGCACAATCCACAGTCCCGTTAATGTCAACAATCCCCATCATAAAAATAATTCCATTACGGTGTAATAAAATTGACTAGAGATCTTGCAAATTAAGGCACCATCCAAATTTTCTTCAATTAATTTCTTCCCCTTAATCAAACTACTATGCTGAATCAAGTGCGAACTATATAAAGTCCAACGGTAATACTAGAAATCAAGCCATGCATAAAAGGTACATTCAATTTCAATCAGCTAGCATGTTTGTGGTAACTTGAAATATATATACTTTCTTTAATTTTATTCGCTTATGGAAACAAAAATTGAGTCGCGTTAACAATTATAATACTTGAGTTTACAACACAGTTGATCAGTTATATAATTTTACTTAATTTAATTAATGAGACTTATTACTTATATATATATATATATATTTATGTGTATATATATATATATATAAGTTGACAAGTGAATCAGTTGATAATGTGAGATGGGTTATATCTTTAGAAAATCAAGAAATTTAGATGAGATGCCTTTTTCAATGAAGTAAAGAAATAAAGAATATTATATTGTGTCTGCTGGGCGTTTCTTTATTGGACAAGCTAATAATTGCAACTAGGAAAAAGTGGATGCAGTAATTTCAGTATCCGTGATTTGAATACCACAGTTTAATTTATATACAGAAATCCATAACATCATGTGAACGAACATCCATATCAAATTTATGTACAGCTTTGGATATATATGGAAGCTAGACAACAGAATACAGATAATTATCCATGAAAATGAAATCACTAGGATCAGCCGGTGATGGTTTAGATGAATTACATGAAATTATAGATTCAAACATCATTACCAGCATTTAAAAAAATTAAAAAGGCTAATAATTAATGGATGCTAATCTGTTTAATTATTGGAACTGCATCTGCATGGTACCTACAGCTAGCAAGTATATATGTTAGTAACGTGTACGTATATGAAACAAAAGCATATATATATACATGATAACATTTTAATTTCACTTTTGAAGCGGGAAAATAAAATGAAAACGATTTTAGGAGAGTCATGTATACGATGAGAAGGGTATGATGGCACGTGTGGAGAGAGAAGAAGAAAGAAGACAAAAGTTTGATTGCTGGTGCGAGAAAGGATCGAGAGTGGAGGAGAGCCTAAAAAGCCCCCGTGAGGAGTGTTTGGAGGCATTCCAAAATCACAACTAAACATCCTTTTGTTGCTTCTCCTTCACTTCTTTCGATGGCCATTTTTCACTATCACGAGTTCATGATTCCCCTTCTCCCATTTCTTCCAAGTCTAAACCTATGCCAGATATTCCATTTTTCCCAATATATCCTTCTGCTACATAACATATTTTCTTCGTCTTAAAACTATATAATAATAAGTGCTTCCTATTTTTCTGCCATACAGCTATATATTTAATCATGTAAACTAAACTAATTTAGATGTTCACATGACTTGATTTTGAATTTAAAATGTCTCTTGCTAAATCACTTATGGTTTCATTATATATAAGGTAATCCACATTACTCAACACATGTTTGGGAAAGCTTATTATTTAGGAAACAATCATTTTTTTCTTTTATAAAATTTCTTTAAGAAGTTGAAAAAAGTTATTTTAAAAAAATGAAATAAAATAACACTATTTTTTAATGTACACTTTTATATTAAAAAAAATATAACCCATTCAATTATCTAACCTATTAGATATATATTGTGCGAATAAAATGTGATAATAATCTTCCATACTCAATAAATTAACTGAATGATAATTTTTGGACTCCTCATTATCTTAAATATTCTACATATCAATATCTCTTTTTTTTTTTTTATCTCTCTTCTTATCACATATATCACTTATCATATTTATAAATAAATAAATAAAATCCTTTTCTCGATGTGTTAAATGGGATTTAGGGTTTCTAAATATCATTTTTGCAAGTTAATGCTTGGCAAAGTGAAAGAAGCATTTCAAAATTGGGAAAATGGAAAGACTCCAAAATATAAGAAAAGGGTAGTTTTGTAAGTTCAACCAAACTCTACATAGTATTTGTTTATGAATAAACTGAGACAGTCATGTGGGAAGAAAACACATGAGATCATATGGATTTGAGAGCTCATATCCCTTCTTTTAAATGACCACAGAACTCGGCAGAGTTGGTAGCAAAAGAAAAGCACCAGAGAAAAAGAAAGCCAGAAAGATCACAAGAGGAGAGAGAGAAAATTAAGGAGAGCACACAAAATGTTTTCCAAAGAGCAAAAGAGAGCAGCTATGCATGAGAAGCTGCAACACCTTCGTTCTATTACTAACTCTCATGCTGTAATTCCCTGCATTATCTCTTCTGATATCTTTCTTTCCATTGGATTTCTCCGTGAACATTCTCAAGGAAATCAGCCAATTCCCTAAAAGAATGTTCAGTTAAACAGTAATATTGTTGTATACTTACTACCTTCTGCTATTTGTCTTCCGAATTTGACTCCATTTTTGTTAAAGGAAATTAATATGGTTCCTCTTTTCTATTTTTCTTGTTCAAATCTTGGCTATAACTTCATTTTTCATTGTTGACCAAATCCATATTCATTCTTTCTGTATCTTTGATTATCTTTCTATGCTTTCGTTTCCATATCTGGGTAGAAAACTGAAGTACAAACAAATAAGGTGATTTATGATGAATATCATTATATTAAATATTATAATATAATATATATTGAAAATAGTGATTGATAAGTTTCCTTAATTTAATATCATTTATCATGTAAACCAATTATGCATATAGTTGTTTCCAATCAATTATATGCATAATAATTATTAATTATATATGTATGGTTGATGGCAGCTAAACAAAACCTCGATCATAATCGATGCATCAAAGTACATCGAAAAGTTAAAGCAAAAAGTAGAAAGACTGAATCAAGAGATAGCATCTGCAGAAACTTCCAGTGTCCACAACCCTTTGCCTATGGTATTTTTCTTAATTGAGAAAAGTTAACTGCATCCTCTATGCTCAACAATATGTTTGATCAAATTCCTTGCAATAAAACATTGATTGGAGTGTCATTTTATGAATGAACTTGTGCAGGTCACAGTAGAAACCCTAGAAAAAGGATTTCTGATAAATGTTTTCTCAGCAAAAGGGTGTCCAGGTCTGCTTGTTTCCATATTGGAGGCTTTTGAAGAGATGAGACTCACTGTGCTGGAAGCTAGGGTTTCTTGTACAGACACTTTCCGATTTCAAGCAGTTGGAGAAGTAAGATATACACATACATAGCAAAGAAAAACAATATTACAATTGCGTATTTGTTTTCATTTTCAACATGCGTATCATTGATATCTCTCTCTCACACTCTTTTCCTTGTGTTATCAATACTTTTGAATGTCACATGTGTTGTCCTTTTATAAAACGTTCCTCATTGGGGGACGCGAGAAAGGGGACCTAGTTACTGTGTATTAATTGATGGTCATGCATATATATGGTGTTAAATATTAACCCTAATAATAATAGAATCTTCATTAATTGTCTACCGCGTACAATGTCTTTCACTAACGAATATATATATTTTCTTGTTTCTCCAATGTATGTATATTCATGTATATAAGAATCACTGCAAATATAATATGAATGCAACGTTTGTAGAATGAAGAACAAGCGGAGACAATTGATGCACATGCTGTGAAAAAAGCAGTGGGACAAGCAATAAAGAACTGGAGCAAAAGTGGCGATCAAGACTAAATCAGTAATCACATGTCTGCTTATATATATTGCATTTTCCAATCTTCTTTCATGTTGGCTAACTGGCAATTTGTTGCTCAAGGAATTAATCAGAGCGTCGGATAAGACAGC